CCATCTGGCTTTGCCAAGGCTGCGGCAGGCGGGACTCGAAGTCAGTACACCTATAGCAGGCTCGTTTTGAAGTCGATTGTCCTGTGTGGCCCGCGAATGTCGCTGTAAATACCCAGACGGCCTGTGGCAGAAGAAAGGCCCCCAGCCCTGGAAGGAGGCCTGTGGAGTGAGGTCGCCTGGGGGGGGGGCGGCTGCCTGCCTGGGTCTGTCCTGTGGTTTGTCCTTCAACTCTGCAGCCAATGGACCATTCACCCCCAGGTGCCCCCTGAACTCTGAACTTGGCCCGTGTCAAGTGGGCATCCTGTCCCGAGCTTGCGGTCTCCTGGGGCTTGTGTGAGGAGGTTTGGGGGTGACTTGGTTCTTTTGGGCGGCTGTAGGCTGGGTGGCTCTGAATAACAGCGCAGCGCTGGTCCCAGCTCTGGGCTGGCAGGTGCAGGATCCGGCTGGCAGAGGCGGTGTCTGGGTAGGGCCGTTTCTGCATAGACAGGGTCTCTCCCCAAGTCCTCAGATTGACAGGGCCCGGGGCATCCTTTGGCCTCTTTTACAAGGGTGCTGAGCTAATCTTCAGGAGGGCTCCCCGCCTCGTGGCAGAATCGCTTCCCCACGGGCCCTGCCTCCTAACTCCAGCACGGCACCTTGGGGGCAGATCTCAGGGTGCATCGGGGGGGGGGGCATAAACATGCAGGCCCCAGCCAGGGGTGAAATGATCCGAGAGACATAAGGAGGTGGCCAGAGTCAAGGTTTAAGGCTACTACACCCTGATTCTCTCCACTCTTCCCTCCCTCCCTCCCTCCCTCCCTCTCTGCGTTAAGCACCTGCTGTGCGTGGCGGGGGTGGGGTGGGGGTCTGGTCACCCACAGGAGCCTGAGTCGTCCCGCTGTGGTTCCCAGTGTCTCAGCAGCCTTTCCGTCAGCTGCAATTTCAATGACATTTGAAGAAGGACCCCTCAGGCCCCTCGCGCAGGTCGCGGCGTCACCCTATTTTTATCCCAGGGATCGTCCCCTGGGCGGGGTATTTCCTGGAAAGATGTTGGATCGCAGACATTCTGTGCTGCTCTTGCCAGCTGCGAGCTTTTTTCCTGGTCTTGTCCCTCGAGTTATTTGCTTAACTGAGCCTGCCTGGGGAGCCTGCCTCGGAGCCAGGCGCTGGGCTGGGTGCTGGGGACCCGGTGACGTGGCACACAGGCAGGTGTGCCAGCTCTGCCCGGGGGTGGAGACGCAAAGGGTGCACGGTGCACTCTGGGAGCCAGTGCCGCTCCTGTCCCGGCTTCCTCTTGCAGGTGGGGGGGAGGCCGGGGGGGGGTTAAGCAGGCATGGTGTCGTGGCAGCAAGCAGAACTTGGGTGTAATCATAGCCCACGCTTATTTGGCTCGACACTCTTTTCCGCATTGAGTGTGCCTGGGGCTTGGCCAAGGTCACACGTGCAGCGGCCGCGAGTTGGGATCGGAACCCAGCGCGTGCACTAACCACCGGGCGACCCTGCCTCTGGGGATACTAGTCCTGTACCCCATGCCGCAGGGTACGGCTGTGCTCAGCGGTGACCAGGCCATCTGAACCTCAGCTTCCTCACGGGCACGGGGCACCAGTGGGGCCGTGGGGAGGTCACCCGAGGGAAGGTGGGGTGGCGCTTGGCAGGTGCCGAGGCCCGGGAGGCCCTTCCGAAGTTCCAGGGCAAACGGGGCGCCCGGGGCAAGCCTTGGCTCCGGGCGCCGGGGGCGGAGGCAGAGCGGGATTTGGGTTCGGCTGGAGGGAGGCGCTCCAGCCATATGGCCAGGATCCTGCCGCTTGCCAGCTCTTGCCTCGGCCTTCCTCTGTTGGCAAAGTCCTCGGGCCACTACGGAGGCAAGGCGGCCATCGGAGCCGCCCGGTTCCAGGGACAGCGCCCCTTCTTCAGTGCCAGCTGCACCCGGAGCCGGAAGCCGGCCCTGAGCCGGTCACGTGGCCAGGCAGGGGGTGGCACCCATGGAGCACCAGCCCTGGGTGCTGAGGCCTCTGTGGGGGTGGGGCAGGCATCGCGGCAGAGCTGGTGCCCACTGTCCCTGCCTGGCCACACGGAGCCCTCCCTCTGCCACCTGCACCTGGGGTGACCTCAGGACGCAAGTGCGCGCTTCACATCGAAATTGCTCACCTGATGAGGCGCCTGGGAGCCGGCAGCAGGGAGTGGGGGGGTTTTGTTGAATTTTTTTGCTTAGACTTAGCGCTGAAGCTGCGAGATAAAGTAACTGTGTAATTAGGAATTAATTTCTCACACCCAAAAGTGATGTCTTATTTGGGGCCCGAGAGAAGTCAGCCTGGTGGCTTTGCCCCCCCCCCCCGCCCCGGGCCCCTTCTGCACCTCTGGGTCTGCAGTGGGGGTGGGGGACCCAGCTCCCTGCTGTCACCGGGGTGGAGGGGAGGAGGAGGCGGCTCCTGGCGTGTAGAGATTGAGAGGTATTACCCCAGCCCCCACCATTCTCCGAGTGCCTGCTGGGTGTCGCAAGTCTGAGGGGGAGAGAGGGGCTGCCCTCCCGGGTAGGCCAGCGTCCCCTGCTCCCAGAAGGTGGCCGCCTGCTGGCAGCTCCGCACCTCCCCTGACCCCTGCAGCCCCAGCCTCCGCCCCGTGTGGTCGCTCGGGCTCCTGCCCCCGGCATCACCTGCACCTGCGCAGCCTCCTCTGCGGTCCCCGCCCCCGCACTTCCTGGGATCACCTCCCAGGGAGGCACCCCCCCCCCCAGGGGCTGCTGCGAGGGGAATTCGAAGCAGGCGGGAGGTGTGAATGGCGTGCAGAAAGAGCCAGAGCCAAGAGGGGTGGATTCCGTGCTGGTGCGAGGAGTGGGGGAGGGGGAGAGTGAGCACAAGGTCCTGTGCCCAGGCCAGGGGCCAGGGGGCCTGGGGCGTGTGGCGAGCCTGGCGTGGCCCCCAGGATGGGTGGAGTAGAGCAGGGCTGGGGGAGGTGAGAAGAGGGGGGTCGGCTGCGGGTGATGGCGAGGGGCCGAGCCAGTGCTCTGGGCCAGATCTGCCCACGTGGACCTGCTCGGGCTCTGAGGCTTGTGTGTTCCAAGTGCAGGGCCGGGCGTGGCTGCCTCTGCTCCCTTCAGGGGTGGGGGCGAGTGGATGGCAGGGGCCAGAGGCCGCTGCTTCTCTCCCAGGGACCCCAACTGGCACCCAGGCTGTCCTGGGACCTGGCCGGGCCTGGCACCCTTCGCTGAGCTGGGAGGTGGCAGACCCAGGCTGTGGCCTCTGGGGACGCCGTGTGGCTGTGGGACAGCCATATGGCAATGGGATGGGGTGTCAGCGCCAGGCTGGAGGCACAGGGCTGACAGCCTGCACCCAGCCTGGGGCGGCTCAGCCGGGTCAGCCCTGGGAGCCCTCTGCGCATAGTAGGCCTTCAGGAAGCGCGTGCTTTTTGCGGCGGCCTGCCCAGCGGGCAAGCGAGCGTCTGTTCATTTTTGTCATGTGACTTCCTGGGTGGGGCGGCCCCCTGGATAGCACCTATGGGAGTTCGGCTGCTGAGCCTCTGGGCCCCGGCCTGTGTGGGTGGAGTCCGGGGAACGGGCAGGCGGGGCAGGCCCGGGTGTGTGGCCAGTGGGAGCGCCTGTGTGTGCCACCCCCGCGGTCTCGTCACATGCGTCTCCCCGGCTGCCTGGAGCTCCTTCTACAAAATAGGAAAGTGACAGTTTGGCTCACCCACACGAGCGCAGGATCCTCACACGGCCCCGAATCTGTCCTCACCCGTGCCGCCCCACCCCCCGCACGCATCCTCTGCCTGCCTGCCCGGCCCTCCCTCCCCTCCCATTCCCCCCTCCCCCGGCAGCCCCCAGGTCTCTACCTCTAGTCTTTGCCACTTTCTGGGGTCATTTCCCCTCCACTGACCCTGGGCCCCAGCAGGAGGGAGCACGGGGCGTGTGTGCCCTGCGAGGGCTGTGTGGTGCGTGACCTCGTGTGCAAGCAGGGGGGAGAGGGCATCCCGGGAGCCTCCGCTCAGTCCCTCCTCCAGCAGCGGGAGGGGCCGCGGCTTCACGGCCACAGGTTTGCAAGCGGGTAGACAAAGCCCTCACTTCCAGCTGACCACGGGTGACACGTGGAACTAGGGGTGGGGGAGCGGCCTGGTGAGCTGTGTGCTGGGGTCAGGCTGGGGCGGCTGGCCTTGGCATGAGCCCCTGTCTTTCAGCAAGGGGCGGGTAGGGAGCAACTGAGCAGGTAGGATCTGCTGTAAATATAGGGGAGCCTAGAGGGGGCCCCAGAGGTCTGCCTTTTGTGGGAGATCTGGGAAGGCTTCCTGGAAGAGGCAGGCTGCTTCCACGGAGCTGTGGGTCTGTTGGAACATGGATTGGGGTGTAGGGTGCTTGGTGGGGCTCCAGGAAAGAGAGCCAGGGCACTGGGTGTGCCTGCCTTTGAGTGCCTGCCCTGCCCGGCTTGGTGCTTCTGACGGTGGAGATGGGATTGAATCCTTTTGGGTGCACCCAGCCTAGGTTGTCAGCTTCCTTGTGGGCTGTGGTGTGAGAAGCTTCCAGAACTGCAGGGTGTCTGAGCAGGACCTGGACGCACAAGTCAGGTTCCCCGGGCAGAGCAGAGGCGGGGCTGGCCTGGCAGCAGGAGGTCCAGGGAGCCCTGGGGGTGGAACCTCCACGTCCGGGTGTGAGCAGGGGTGGGGCAGGGCTGGGGGCGCGGATCCTGGCGCAGGCGGTGATGGGGGGTGGGGGTCACTGCGCTGAGCTGTCTCTCACCCTCTGGTTGCTCAGGCCTCTGTCTGTGCAGAGGGCTGTGAGACCAGTGCTGGGGCGGCTGATGTCAGCCCAGGGCCCCACAGCACCCGGGACCCCCGCCTGGGGAATGGGCCCAGGGGAGCACTACCTCCCTGTTTCCGGCTCAGGCAGAGGGGCCGCCGTGCTGGGCTCACAGCGGCGCTCGGGGCCTCTGTCCCCCACTCTCCCTGCCCCAGCTGGCACAGTGCAGGGGAACTGGGCCTCCCAGGCAGGTGCCTCCCCGCCCGCCCCTCACACTCCTCCCCTTCCTCCGCAGGATGGTCGAGTACTCCCTGGACCTGCAGAACATCAACCTGTCGGCCATCCGCACCGTGCGTGTCCTGAGGCCCCTCAAAGCCATCAACCGAGTGCCCAGTGAGTCGCCCGCGCCCCGCCCCGCTCACTCGCTCCGAGACCGACCGGCGCCCGCTGGGCCCGGCTGGGCCGACGTGGATGTGGCTCTGCCTCTGTGCAGCTCTCGGGCTGGGAGCAGGGCCTGAAGGCGTTGGAGGTGGCCCCGGTGCCTCGGAGTCCCAGAGAAACCGGGGTGCAGCCTTGGGGGGCCGGCTTTTCAGGGGTGAAATGTTCCGGGGGGGTGGGCTGGGGTCTGGGAGGAAGCAGCTCCTTGGAGCACTTAATGGGGGCAGTGGCTCCCGACTCCTTCATTCCTGCTGATTGACTTTGAACTTGAGCTCTGTCACCCACACTCCCCACCCATAGGTTCATCCACCTACTCACAAGTGTCCACCCATCTATCTGTCCATCCATCCATCCATCCATCCGTCCATCCACCCATCTGTCCGTCCATCCATCCGTCCGTCCGTCCATCCTTCCACCCATCCGTCCATCCATCCACCCATCCGTCCTTCCGTCCATGTGTCCACCCTTCCACCCATCCATCCCTCCGAGTCCACGTCTGGGGCTGTAACAGAACACCTCATGTGGGATAACTGATCCAAACCGATGCTCTTTAGCTCGCAGTTCTGGCAGCTGTGGTCCGAGAGCACGGGCACTGGCGCCTGGTGACGGCCTCTTGCCTCACGCTAGTGTGGCGGGGACCATCGCCCAGTGAGACGGAGCGAGCCTGGGTCTCTCCAGCGCCATGCACCCTCATCTGATCCAGCCACCTCCCGGAGGTCCCGATGCCCACACGTCTTGTGCACATTCAATGCATCCCTCTACCCACGTGGCGTTCAAGGAGGTCTCCTTGGTCTCTCCCGAGCCCCACGTCCCCCCGTAAGGGAGGTGGGCTGTTTGCACTTTCCCCATGAGCACAGCTGGAGGGCACACCGCCCCCAACCCCCTCCCCTGCCTTGTGTTAGCAGTGAGCTGGGGATGGGGGCAGGAGGGGAGGAGGCAGGCTGCCCACCCAGCCCACCCCCGTGCAGCCTGTCTGCCCTGCGTGCCTGTGGGGCTGGCCTGGCTCTGGCCTTCGGTGTGGGAGCCTGGCAGGCCGTGGGGCCAAGCTCCGGGATCTCTGTGCAGCAAGGTGACACAGAGGTGGCCTGGGCTGGCAGGGTCTGGACAGTGCCCTCATTCCTGCTTTGCTCTGAGAGGGCAGGGCGGGGTTCCTGGGTGGTGTCCAGGTTGCACGTGCAGGGTCAGCCCTCCGTGCGCAGCTGGGAGGTCCCAGAGTTGCTGGGGGGCCCGGTGCGGGTGAGTGAGGCGTGCTGAGAGCCATAGCCCTGCAGTTCACTCTCCTGCTCCCACCCCTCCTGCTGCCCTGCGGAGACTTCCTTGGTGGCTGGGAAGAGACACCCAGAGAGGCTATCCCAGGGCAGCATCTCCATCCTTTCCATCCCCACCAGTCCCGGAAGGCTTCTTCAAGACCCCTGAGTTCAAAACCATCTTCCCCTGTTTATCACATGAGGAAATGGAGGCCAGGCCAAGGTCACACAGGTCAGCGGCAGGGACCAAACCACAGTCCTGGGTTCTACCCAGTGCACCTGCCCCAGCCGCACGTGCCTTCTTGCTCATGCCCTGCCCGCCTTGACCGGAGAGCAGGCCAGGATGTGGGCTTCATTCCCGGGGCCTGGGGTGGGGGGCGGTCAGCAGAGGGGTCAGAGGCTGGCTCTCCAGGGGCTGCAGCCGTGCGGTGGACCAGTGTGACTGATGGGACACGTGAGTGGGGGAGGTGGTCTCTGGCGGAGGCAGGACGGACCCCGGCGTGTGTGAGAGTCTGCGTGTCTCCACCGTGGAGCCTGTGTGCATGGTGTGCAGGTGGGTGGTGGGCAGTGTGAGGGTCTGCACCTGGGAAGGTGTGTGCACACGTGTCGGTGAGCACACACGGGCGGGTGAGTGTGTGAGCGTGTGCACGGGAGGCGTGTGTGTATGTGAGTGCATGGAGTTCTGTGCACTCCTGCCAGTGTGTGTGGGCATCCCCCTGATCTGTCTGCTGCGTGTGAGGAGCTGTGGGTGGTGGCCTGTGGGGGTCACTCCCCGTCCTCTCTGGAGGTGGAGGAGGGCAGAGGTCCATCTCCGGAGCTCCCGGAGGCTCCAGCTACGGGCGCTGCGCAGCCCAGAAAGCCCAGAGAGGGGTCGGAGTTCCTCCTCCGGGGCCTCCTTCCGGCTGGCGGCCGTGGCTGCGAGGCCCTGTGAGCCGGGTCAGGGGAGCTGTCCCTGCTGGGGAGCCCAGTCTGCCCCGTAGCCTTGCAGGGCTGCTGGGAGCACTGACCTCCCGGCGGCCAGAGCGGCGGGAGGTGTCCCCTCCTCAGATCTGGAAGTGGCCCAGCGAGGGCGCCTCCTGCAGAGGGGCCTCAGATAAATTCACAGCCGGGAGAAAGGCAGGAGCAGGTGCCTGGCCGCCTGGCGTCACAGGAGACAGCTCCGCCCCCAGGTGCCCTGCCCCCGCCCAGAGCCGCCAGGAATGAATGGGGGGGGGCAGGGCACGAGAGGTTTGATTGGCTGCCTTTTAATAAACTTATTTATTTGAGAGGCCAGGAGAGAGAGGGAGAGAGATTGGTCTTCCAGCTGCTGGCTCACTTCCCGAATGATTGCAGCAGCCGGGGCTGGGCTGGGGCCAGAGCCAGGAGCTGGGACCTCCATCCAGGTCTCTCATGGTTGGAAGGGACCCAAGCATCACCATGGGCAGGAAGCTGGAGTCAGCAGCGGGAGCCGGAATGCAGCCCAGTTCCTCTGCCATGGGACACGGTGGGGGCTTAGCTGCTAGGCTGAAAATGAATTTCCCAAAAGCATTCCAAGTCCTCCCAGCCACCCTTACATCCGCGTCTGTCCCGGGTCCGATAGCAGCCTGTAGCTTTCAGTTTCGCCACTAGATGGCGAGCTAGAGAGCTGGTAGTAGGCGAAATCAGGTTATGGGTTATTAACTGGCAAGCTGCAGGGTGGGGGTGGTTGCCTGGAATTTACAAAACAGGGGTGAGCTTTTGGTGTAGCCCTGAGGACGGCACTTAGGACGCCTGCATCCCATGTCGGAGTGCCTGCGTTCAGGTCCTGGCTCTGCTTCCCATTCCAGCTTCCTGCCAAAGTGCACCCTGGGAGGCAGCAGGTGACAGCTCAAGTATTGGGTTCCTGCCACCCACGTGGGAGACGTGGATCGAGTTTCCAGCTCCTGGCTTCGGCCTGGCCCCAGCCCTAGCTGTTGTGGGCATTTGGAGGAGTGGACCAGGTGGAAGATCTCTCTGTCTCTTTCCAAATAAAAATAGAATACAGGGAAGGCTGCAAAGGCTTAGCACCATCAACCGAGAAGATTCAGTGGGAGGTCAGGAGAGGCAAGCTCTGGTCTCCCGACAGCTCCGGGCCTCAGTCTCCCAGCTTGCACAAAGAGGAGGAGGGGCTGGAGTAGATGGGAGGTCCTCAGCTTTGTCCAGGATGGGGAGGGGGCCCGGAAGGCACAGGGGTCTTCACAGGACTTTGTAAAACTTGTCCGTCCTGCCCTGGCCTCGGATGGGTGAGGGAGGGAGGCAGCATGGAGAGGGGCAGGCAGGAGGGCTGCGCGGCTTCTTTGCTGTGTGGCCGTTCGTAAATCACTGTCCCTTCCTGGGCCTTGGCAAGGTAAGGCAGGGTTCCCTCTAAACACGCCCCATCCCGGCACCAGCCAATCCCAGGCCGGACCCCGCCCACCGATCCCCCCAGCCCTGCAGTGCTTCCCTGAGCCCATTGGCTGAGCCACTTTTCCACCAAAATGAGGACAGTCACTTCCAGCTTCTGGGTGTCCCCCCTCCCCCAGGCGCCGGGAGGCAGACCCCTGGCCTGGTCCCTTCACGCACCCCCAGGCAGGGCCCTTGGGCCAGGCCTGGGCAGGGGCTCGGGGGCAGAGCACCTGCTGGCGGCGCTGTGGGTGCCTGCCCAGGAGCTGCAGGCTTGCTCCGCACTGTCAGACCCTGGCTCGAGTGCCGGGGTGGGGACCAGGACCTGGGCGAGCTCCGATTCTCTCAGCACCTCCATTTCTCCCAATGGGTTAACAGTACCAAGTCCCACACGGCAGCAAGGATGGGACGGCGTCCCGTAATGCCAGGCCTCGCGTGTGGCAAGTGACCGCGGCTGTTGCGGGGGGGGGGGCGAGGGCAGAGGGCGGGCGTCGGGGCTGTCTTCTCTGGGGCTGGTTTTGGGAGGTGCTCAGCGAGCCCACAAAGGGGTGGGGAGGCCTCTCCCTGGCAGACAGACCAGCACCTGCCGTGGTGGCACGGAGGGGCCGGGAAGGCGGGGTCCACGTCTTTAGTGATGATGGGCGGTGGCTGGTGGCGGGCTGGTCCCGTGCCTTGCAGGGGCGCCGTGTGAGTTCTCACTTTACAGATGGGGAAACCGACGCAGAGGGGCTGAGTAACTTGCCGAGGCCACGCAGCTGGCTGGGGCCGAGCCGGGATTTGAACCTTTGCCTCTGTGGCCCACTTCACCACCTCTGCGACCGAGGAGGTCCTGCGGCTGTGGTGATGCCTCAGCGCCCTCTCCCCCCCGGCCTGGTCGGCTCCAGACCCTGGAACGCCTCCTGAGGCCGGGGCTGCACATTCTCACTGCGCTGGCCCTTTGCAGGCTGGGGGGCTGCGAGCCAGGACAGCACACGGGCGGGCTGGGAGGGTGGTTGGTGCAGCCTGGGCGGCTGCTTGTGCCCTTGGCCTGCTGCCGCCCGCTTCTGCCCAGATTCGTGCTGGGCTGGGGTCGAGGTCACACCGGCCGCACACAGGAGGGACTTGTAAGGTCTCGAGGGGCCTGTTTCTTGGGTGGGGTCTTGGAGTCGGCTCGGAGACCTGGTGTTTCCAGGGGGCCGCGGGGAAGGCGGTGGGGCCACACCAGGGCTCCTTGGCACCCAGAGGGCCCCCCTCGTCCTAAGGGAGAAAGGCCTGGCAGCCCCTTGGGGGGAGGAAGAACGGGAGGAGGAAGAGCGGTGAGGACGCGGAGGGGCCCGGCCTCCCCGGGGT